ACTGTCCCCACTGTCCCACTGACTCCTCCGCTGTCCCACTAAGCTGTCCCACTGTTCCCACCACTGTCCCCACTGTCCGCACCACTGTCCCCACTGTACCTCTGTCCCATTGTCCCACCGCCGTCCTCGCCACCGCCTTCACCACTGTCCCCACCACTGTACCCTCCACTGTCCCACTGTTTCCACATCATTCCCACTGTCCCCACACCACTGTCCCCACCACCACCGTCCCCAACACTGTCCACTGTCCCTACTGTTCCCACCATTGTCCTCACCACTGTCCCCACCACTACCGTCCCCACCACTGTCCCACTGTCCCCACCACTGTCCCGCTGTCCCCGCACCACTGTCCCCATCACCACCGTCCCCACCACTGTCCGCACCCCCCCCTCGGTTTTCGAGGGGGGGGGGGGGGTTCGAACCGGTAGTGACCCCCCCGTTTTCCGAGGGGGAGGGGGGGGGGTTCGAAAATGGTAGTGACCCCCCCCTTTCATGATGAACGGGGGGGGGGGGAGGGGTTCGAACGGTTAGTCCGGTAGTGAACCCCCCCGGTTTTCCGGAGGGGGGGGGGGGAGGGGTTCGAACCGGTAGTGACCCCCCCGGTTCTCCGCCAGCAGCGGTAGAACACGCTCTTTCGCTGATGATGATACTGATGATGATGCTGCTGACGATGATGATGATGCAACTGATGATTGTGATGATGCTGAGGATGTTGTTGCTGTTGATGATGGTGATGCTGATGATGATGATGATGATGATGATGATGATGATGATGCTGATGCTGATGATGATGATGATGACGGTGATGACGGGTGATGCTGATGTTGTTGATGGTGATGTTGTTGATGATGTTGATGGAGCTGATGATGATGGGTGATGAGGTTGACCGCTGAGGATGGTGATGTTTCTGATGCTGTTGCTGCTGCTGCTGATGATGACTAAGACCGGTGGTGGTGATGATGATGACGTGCGGTGGTGATGTTGATCCCGATGGTGCGCATGATGATGGGCGATGTTGGTGATGGATTCTGATGCCAGGGGATGATGATGATGATGATGGTGATGATGACGGGTGATGAGTGGATACTGATGATGATAACGGTTGATGGTGATGACGACGGATGATGATGATGATGATGATGCTGATGATGATGATGATGATGATGATGATGATGATGATGACGGATGGTGATGCAAATCATGATGATATTGCTGCTGCTGGTGAAGATGGCGATGTACGGTGATGGTGATGGGTGATGTCGATGTTGATGTTGATGTTGATAATGGGTGATTCTGATGTTGGTGATGATGCTATTGATGATGCTGTTGATGATGAGGATCATGATGCTGATGCTGATCATGCTAATGATGCTGATGATGCTGATGATGATGATGATGATGATGTTGTTGCATATGCTGATGTTACTGATGATGCTGATATTTATGATGTTGAAAACAGATGGTGGTGATGATGCTGATTATGATGGTGATGCTGATGATGCTGATGATCTTGATGCTGCTGCTGATGATGATGATGATATTGATATTGGTGATGGATGATGATGATGGTGATGATGATGACGCTAATGATGATGATACTGAGGGTGATGGTGGATGATGCTGCTGATGATGATGCTGACGATGACGATGCTGCTGCTGCTGATGATGATCATGACGATGATGCTACTGCTGCTGCTGCTGCTGATGATGATGATGATGATGATTCTGATGATGATGATGATGATGATGATGATGATGATGAGGTTGACGACTATTATGATTGTGGTGGTGGTTATGATGATGATGATGATGATGATGATGATGATGATGATGATGATGATGATGATGAGAGTGATGACGACGACGATGATGGTGATGATGCTGATGCTGATGATGATGATGCTGATGAGGATGATGCTGATGATGATGACGATGACGATGATGATTACGATGATGATGATGATGATGCTGAGGATGATGCCGATGATGATGATGATGGCCATGATGCTAATGCTGCTGCTGATGATGCTGATGATGATGATGATACTGATGATGATGATTGTGATGCTGCTGCTGCTGATGACGATGATGCTGATGATGATGCGGATGACGATGATGATGCTGATACTGCTGATGCTGATTATGATGATGATGGCGATGCTGACGATGACGATGACGATGATGCTGAGGATGCTGAGGATGATGCTGCTGATGATGATGATGATGATGATGATGATGACGATGACGATGATGATGATGATGATGATGATGCTGATGATGATGATGCTGATGATGATGATGAGAATGATGATGATGATGATGATGATGATGATGATGATGATGATGATGATGATGATGATGATGATGATGATGATGACGATGATGATGATGATGATGATGAGATGAGGAGGGGGAGGAGGATGAGGAGGAGGAGGAGGAGGAGGAGGATGAGGAGGAGGTGAGGAATGAGGATGTGATGATGATGATGATGATGTGATGATGATGATGATGATGATGGATGATGATGATGGATGATGAGATGATGATGATGATGATTGAGGGTCATTGTGGTATGATGACGAGGAGGAGGAGGAGGAGGAGGAGGAGGAGGATGAGGAGGAAGAGGAGGAGGAGGAGGAGAGGAGGGAGGAGGAGGAGGAGGAGGAGGAGGAGGTGGAGAACCAGGAGGTGGAGGGTGGAAACGGATTATACCGGCCCGAAGGCGGAGAGGAATGTGGAGGGGGAAACAGGAGGAGGAGGAGGAGAGGAGGAGGAGGAGGAGGAGGAGGAGGAAGAGGAGGAGGAGGAGGACGAGGAGGAGGAGGAGGAGGAGGACGACGAGGAGAAGGATGATGAGGACGACGATGGACGACGACGACGACGAGGACGAGTACAGGGAGTTGGAGGCGGCTGACGAGGATACTGAGGACGAGGAAAACAATGAAGATGAAGATGAGGAGGGATAGGAGGAGGAGTCGGAGGAGGAGGAGGAGTCGGAGTCCGAGTCGGAGTCGGAGGAGGAGGAGGAGGAGGAGGAGGAGGAGGAGGAGGATTCTGCTGGATTCTGCTGCCTTGCCACGCACGTGGCCCACGCTCCTCAGTCACTATCACCGCTGTCCTACAGCACCAAACAATCAGCCTGCTGCTGCTGCTGCTGCTGCTGCTCCTCACCGCTGCTGCGCTCCTCCGCTCGAACCCTGGGCGGTCCGCCTGCTCTCGAGCTCGCCTCCGCTCGGAGGCGCACGACCGTCTCTCTCAGGGCAGCGGACGCAGCAGCAGAGGGGCCAGCGGGCGGCGGCGGCAACGGGTCCTGCAGGGTCATAGCGTCGGCCATCGCGCGCGGATGGCGGTCGGCCGACGTTCGCAAGTATTCGTACTCAGGGGCACTGAGCAGAGGCGCCGTTGGCCTCACCGACTCGCAAGCCCTCGCAGTTCCTTCCTCCGAGGCCAAGGGGCCAGCTCTGTTCGCAGCATCACACGCCTGGGCGGCGCGCACACATTTGGGCGGGCCACGGTGCGACAGAAACAATCCACGACGAATTCGCACCAAATTCTCCCCCCCCTTTCTTGGTCGGGGGGGCGCACTCGGACTGAAGCCTCCTGCCGTCAGAGGTGGCAGTGAAGCCGCAGTGCATACAAAAACTAAATTGAACGCCTTCATCTTCGCTAGCGAGTGTGACGGATGAAGCGCGACTCCGCCCACAGAACTCTCGCCCTGGACCGCCTCGAAGCCCTCTCCGTACTCAGGGGGGAGGACACGTTCATCAGCCGCGCCCAGCCAGGAGGAGGAGGAGGAGGAGGAGGAGGAGGAGGAGGAGGAGGAGGAGGAGGAGGAGGAGGAGGAGGAGGAGGAGAGGAGGAGGAGGAGGAGGAGGAGGGAGGTAGGAGGAGGAGGAGGAGGAGGAGGAGGCGGAGGAGGAGGAGGAGGAGGAGGAGGAGGAAAGTGAGGACGAGGAAGACGAGGACCAGGAGGAGGACGTGAATGGGAGCTGGGAGCAGGGAGGCAGGGAGGTTGGATGATGAGCAGGGCATTGGAAGGGAGAGAAGGGGGGAGGCAGGGCAGGGGAGCGGAGAGAGGGGTGGGCAACGAAAGAGAAGGGGGGTGTGGGAGAAACAGAGGATGGCCCTCTGGAGCCTCCAGGGATCCTTTGCCACCTCCTCCAAGGAGCAGGGGATGGGCCCTCCTCCTGCTCCCTCCTCTCCCCCCCGGCTCTGGCGGCCTCCTCAGCAGTTCCAAACCCTGCAGAACTTGTGGCTGGAACCTGAGAATCAATCCGATAAACGTTCAGAGGCCTCCACAACCACCCCGAAACGGTTCGAAGACCCCTCCATCTGGCTCCGCTTTCTCTAGGTAGATCCGTAGCCGCTTGGGCTCAAGTCAGGCTGGCTCAAGCCGCGCGGATTCGCGCCGGTTCAGCGCAGGGCCCAGCCGTTGTCGCAACCGTGCGGCCGCGATGGCGCCGCCGGGGAAGTCGCGCAGTCGGGGAGGACGCGGCACACCCGAGCCGCTTCCGAGTGTTCCCTCCCCCAGGTCGCAAGTGCGTACGCCGCGCTCACACGCATCAAGCCGAGGTGAATCGACGCAGCCCCCCTGGAAAGCGGCAGCCCCCGTCGAGAACGGCAGGGCCCCTCGCTCCGGCAGCAGCCCCAGGACCCTTCGCAAGCGGCAGGCCCCTGCGCCGCTGCAGGAGGACAGGGAGGATCAGTCAGCGTTGTCGCGCGAGCCGCTGGCGTCGCTGCTGGATGTGCTGATCGGCGTGGACTCGCCCCAGCGCAGGCTGTACGTCGATTCGCTGGTCAGGGCTGCAGCAGACAGGGGCAGCCGCGTCGGGAAGCACGAGATTATCGCCCACCTCTGCGCCAGGGCGGACTCGCCGCGTCCCCCCTCCGGCAGACGGGATGGGACCCGTGACCGTCCCGCGTCCGACGCGGGAATGTTTCAGGAGGGGAAAAAACACAGACACGATTAATCGTCGATCCCTAGGAAAAGATGGGAAAATATGGGAAGTGGGGGGGAAGACAAAACCCAGAAAATATGGGAACATATGGGGAATCCTGTTATCTGTGTGTATTTATTTGTGAGTCCCGGGGCTCCTTCAAGGTTGCAGTCGCAGATCACCTATGTGATTCGGTTGTTGAGGCTGGGCCTGACGATGCAGATGATGTACGCGCTGCTGTACTGGCTGCATCAGTGGGTCGGTTTCTGGGACGCCACGCCGGACCTTGACGAGTGGGTTATGCCTATCAACGTAGCCTTTTGGATCGCGGTCCCATTATTCCTGAATTACGTGGTGTGGACGATGTATCTGTCTGGCGGGGGGATTCACATAGTTCTAGCTTACATAGTGCTGGTCATGGCCATGATCCTGCTGATCTTCTGGGCGACGTGGATGGACCCAGATAATGGAACCTGGTGGACGGTGTGGTATATGTGA